AAGATTATGCAGAAGTGTTGTGTGTTAATGGTTATGTCTTGGTCTATTAGTGCCAGCAGTTAACCATCTCACATTGTTCTGTTGCACAGCTCCTGGTTGGTGGTGTGTCATGCACACAGCCATGCAGTCACCTGGCGACCTGCCATATTTGCTAGTAGTGGGATGAATGGGCTTCTTTTGATCAGCATATGCATATTTTAAGGATACATGTGCAGTCAGAGCTGGCACCAAACAGTTGTTCCTGAAATTTGGCAAGTCCGTCATTATTGTTCTAGTGCACAGTTGATTTGTTTCTTTCCTCACATATGCACTGGTTTTATTTAGTCTTGGATGATGGATAATGTCCAGAAAACAGTTTGCTTTAACAGCGCTCTATCATCACAGAATTGAGATTAAATTTAATGCTTACACCAGCCTCATTTCAGCGTGCCCTTTCTTTTCCTCTTATTGTTAGCCGAATGGGTTATAATTTTGTGTCGTGAACCACCTGTCTTCACTCCATGTAACCTTTCAGTCTTTGTAAGGTAAGATTTCAGGTTCTCACAGCAGTGAGTATGAAGTTTCCTGACGATAGATGCAGCAAGCACTTCTTACATAACTTCTACTAGACTACATGACACAACATCCCAGAAGGCACTTATTTGTTTAAATATTATAAAATTTGAGTTTCTTTACTATTTATGTTTTGTCTTAACTGTGTAATGATTGAGAAGTTGTCATACTATTTTTGATATAATTTCATGTGCTCAAAGCTCCAGATGTGTTCTCTCACTTCTTAATTCTTTCAAATATCAGAATCTCTATTTGATGTTGTGAAACAACACAAAGACAAAGTTGATTTGAACAGTTTCAAAATAAATTTTACTGAAGGAAGATAGCATTAGACTTTTGTACCAGTGAAGGATAAACACGTTTCTAAATATTTGCCTATCTGATAGAAGTATTAACCTTTATTGCTAGTCTGTGCATCATGGCAGACCATCCATCACAGTGACATACCACTAAATCATTAGTGTCTGTGTTACAGTTCAGAGTGCAGCCCCATATTACAGAGGTTTAAATTCTCTATTAGCATATGATAAAGGTTAATCATGAATGATAGGATGTCAAGAAAGTAATAACAGCAGCAAAAGAATCTTCTGTTAAGAAAGAAAACATAGTATATGTAAATTAATAATGTTAAAGCCCTATGTTCCTCAAG